TCCGTGGGTTGACGAGGTGATGGTCACGATGACCATCACCTCGTCAATCCACGGAGAGGTGGTGGTCATGGTGACCATCACCTCGTCAATCCACGGCGAGGTGATGGTCATGGTGACCATCACCTCGTCACCAACTATCTTCGCTCATGGCCGCTGGGGTGGCTGGACGCGCCCAACGATTGCCCATGTCAGCGCTCGCGCGCGCCTCGTTCGGCACCCCGTCGCATCAATGGTCCATCGCTCGTCAGCCTGATGCCCCCCCCCCGTTTCCCCCACTCCCACCACCTCCTCATGTCGTTCCCACTCCCCATCCTCCTCCTCGACGGGGGGGGGCGGCCTGCGCCTCGACGGCGCCCGCGACGCGCGGCGCGGCGGGGGGGCGGCGAGAGAGCATCACGGAGGGAGCACCGATAGTCGATGCGACGACGACGACGACGACGACGACCACGATGAGGGCCATCGCGAGACCAACAGCGCGTTGTACAAACAGTTCAAGGAGATGGGGGGGGTCGTCCACGAGTGCGCGGCGAACGCGCGCCAGGCACGCTGCCACCGACGACGACGAACGACGACGACGACGACGGCGGCGGCGGTGACGAACGACGACGACGACGACGGCGGCGGCTCTGTTTTTTGCATCTGCAGCGGCGCCGCCTCTAGCCGAGATCGACAGTCGACTGTGCCCTGCTCCTCGCGCTTATCATCTGCGGCGCTGCGAGGGCCTAGGCGGGGTCCTCGAAGGCCTTGGCTGCGGTGCATCGCTGCGCGACGCCACGCGCGGCCCCACCGCGCCCTCGACCATCAAACTCGAAAACAAAAGTCGACATCGATTCAGCAGCAAGCCGCGAAAGAGGCCCCATGTACCCTAAGGGGCCCCGCAGAGAGGTGGCGCCGCACTTGAATGCACACCGCAGCCTCGCACCGTGAGCACGGGAGGTTGCGTCTAAGGTCGTCGTCGTCAGCCTACCGACGCCACTGGCCCGTGTGATACTGCTGCTCCAGGGCCTGCCGCGCGTTCGCCACGCACTCGTGAACGAACTTCGACGGGTTCGTGAGGCTCCCCTCGCCCGTCTTCTTGAACAGCTTGTACAACACGTTGTTGGCCTCGCGATGACCCTCGTCGCTGAACTGGGCCAGGAGGAAGACGCTCTGCTGGGCCGTCTCGTCGATCTCGCATCGACGAAGGAGGCCGAGCCAGGCGCGAGGGTCCCGCTCGAACGTGGCCCAGACGGGCTCCTGCACCTCCTCAGCGACCGCAGGCGCCTCCTCCGCGGCCGCCTTCCATCGACTTCATTTAGCAAGCCTGTATTTCGACAGTCGGGGGCCATATGTGCGGCCAGGGACTCGGGGCAGGGGGCGGGGTCATGACCACTCGGGGGCACCCAGGACCAGGGGGGGCAACGCTGGACTACAATGTGGTTCACGTGAAACGGCCTTCTGTTCCACCTCCATGCTCACTGGCGTTGCAGATGATGAACTAGCGTCGACAGTCGAGGTGGCTTCGCCAGCTGCTCGAGGATCGACTTCTGATAACTTCCCGGCCTTGGCGCCGCCATTTCATTCGTAGGGGGGGAGGGGTCAGTTGTTTCGACATCCAAGCGGAGGAGGTCTCAAAATAGACTTGGCACCCAGAATGAGGACGAGGGAGAGGATGACGATGGGGAGGAAGCGGGGGGGGGGAAGGAGGAGCAAGATGAGGGGCATATGGGCGGTGGGCGAGATAGCTGGGTGCGTGAGCGAACTGAGACAGACGCATGTGCTGAGGCCCCTGGACCGCCACAAAAAAAACAATGAAAGGTCGAGCAAAACAAAAAACCTAAACGTAGACCCCCCGCACTGGAGATGGCGATGTGGACGGTGAAGGAAGGAACATGGGGGAGAGAACGAGAGTGCGGGTGGTAGTGGTTACTCGATGTCGACGCTTTCGGTGCCTCTCGATATCAACGTCGCCTCCTCCTCCTCGGCCACCTCCTCCTGCTCCTGGTATCTCTCCTCTTCCTCCGCATCGTCGGACTCGCGGGCGTAGACCCCCCGCGTTGGCACTGGGCGCCAAGCACTGCTGGTCCCCGACTTGCCGTAGACGGGGCCAGCCTCCTTGCCGCCCTTGGTGCCGCCCTTGCCGCCCTCGCCGACCCTGCGCGACTTCTCGGCCCGCGGCGGCGACCCTGGCGGCGGCACAGGCCCGACATTGCGCACCATGTGGTACTCGGTGTAGACCCAGTCCCACAGGCTCTTCCACGCTGGGTACGCCATGCGGTCGTCCCTGACCGCCTGGCTCGCGTAGAGCTGAAAAAAAAAAAAAACGCCTCGCCGCCCTCCGCCAGCTCCCATGCCTTCCCAGGCGCCATCCACGCCTTGACGCTCTCCAGCATGCTGATGTGCCCGCGCTTGCCGTACTGCTCGCCCGAGTTGAAGATCTTCGAGTTGCACACGCGCACGTGCATGCCCTCGACCTTGTTCCTCGACATTATGAAGTTCAGCATCGCGTTGCGCATGCGGCCCACCGTGTCGCTGCGATGAAAGCCGCGCTGGCACTCCACCAGGACGAGGATCGACGGCCACTCCTTGACCTTGTAGTTCGACACCTCGACGACGATGTCCTTGCACGCGTCGACGAACCCTGATTGTGACATCACCGTCTTCTGGGTTTGTGCGTGAAGACCGTTCTCCTTGTGTCCGATCGTCTTGCTCGGGTCTTTCGTCAACAAGCGCCTGACGTCGAAGCGAATGACTTTCGACCCCATGCGCTCGCACTCGTGCGCGGTATCGTTCACCAAGTCCTTGTGGATCTGGCCATAGGTGATGACACCCACGACCTGCGCGAACTGCATCGAGCGGCTCTCCGCCACGGCGCAGGAAGAGTACAGGAAGAGAAGGTCGTAAGAGTGCGCTGCAGCACAGCCGAAGGCGCGCGCGTGCACTCAAAGAGCCGCAATGGCTAGTAGGCGATGGTCGATGGGCCAGCCTCGATTGTCGAGTGTCGATTGTCGATCTGGAAGATAAGCCAACTGCAGCCCAGCAGTTCGCACAGCGACTTTGAGCTCCCCTATAGGCGCCAAGGTCAGTTCCGCACCCAGCAAAACCCGCCAGGGCTGCCCAAGACACAGGAACCCAAGGGCGAGCAAGCTCACCACTCCCAAGGGCCCAGCGAGGACAAACCCATCAGGGCGACGAATGAACCAGGACTCCAGCCTGGATTTAGAATATGAATAAGGGGAGCCCGAGACCGCTTCTGAGACACCCGCGCTCTTCGACATCGATTGCAGCTGGCTCCAACTCCAGGGCGCAATGCAACATCCAAGGCAATATCAAGTGCAATCGCGATGAGGCAAGTATTACCACATACTACGTGCACCTATGTACGTACACATATAACACTCATGTAAGCATTGCCACATAGTACCTGCACACATGTATATATATGTATATATATAGACACATCCCCCTCATACGCAGAGATATATGTATATATAGACACTTGTATATATGTGTAGGTATATATGCGTAGAGATATATGTAAACATATTATAGACCCATGTATCTACGTAGAGATATAGACAGGCCCAAGAGGAGCAACCTCCACCACATCATATGAGCAGCAGGGCTTGGACAGGACGGGTGAATGAGGAGGACGCTGAGGAAGGAGGAAGACAAGGAGGAAGGAGGAGGACGAGGAGGAAGGAGGAGGAGAAAGATATCGATCCTCTTTTTGTCCGTGCCAGCCCTGTCACGAAACTCTCAGTCGTCCTCGACTTCGACAAGCTCCTCTTTCTCGTCGTCGGCGGCAACGCCGTCGGAGGTGCCAGCATTGCTCTGAGAGTCCTCACCTGCCTGAGCTGATTCGAACAACTGCATCGCCTCCGCCGCGGAGCTCGCTGTCCTGTACCTCGCGCTCACACGGCCGTCATCGCCTGTACGTTTCAGCACGAACTGGCTCTTGGTGTAAGAGAAGCTCAGCCCAGGATAATCCTTAGTGTCGACCTTGAGCTCAGCAGGAACCTTCTCGGACGGATGCTGCCTGTGGACGATTCCCGGCTTGATCTCGACCTCGCAGCACGCCTTCAAGTACATCACGAGGTCCTCCTCCAGCTGCACATACAGGGGGGCCCCAGGCCTGTCGATAATGACCTTGAAAGGGATGCCCTTGATGTCGCCCATGGTCGGACCATGTACCGTCGCTGTGGTGCCCTGAATCTCGTCGTGGTTCGACCTGGATCGTTTCTTCCATGTCCTGGAGCCAGGCGGCGGTAAGGATGTCTTCTCCATTCCGTGAACGCTAAGCTGGTCCAAGGAGGCTTGCAATGACGATCTGCATGCGTCATCTCTGAGGCGCTCCAATGTTTCACAAATCGATGTGTTAACAAGAGGCCTGATGCCCTTGGAACGCGGATGCCCAAGAAGCTTCATCACCACATCGCAGCTCTTCTTGAGGCGAAAGAATACACAACCGTTTAGCTCCCTGCAATTGCCCAGAATGACTGGCGAAGCCATGCGAGGGGCGCGCACGCGAACAACTTTGTCCACGCACCAGGCCATAGCATCCACCATGTGTCGGATATCGATATCGACGTATCCCTAGAAGCGCGCGGGAGCGCATCTACATCTGGAGCCAAACAAGCAACGCGCGACGTCGAGCGATAAGCGCATGCGACTTTCGATTGACGCGGCGTCGTGAACCGCGTTCCCCGAAAGAACAAACACACAAGGTTTGGAGCCTAAGCGTCTTAAGTAAGTTGTAAGTGGTTTAAGTGTATACGCGGCCCTGGATAAACGTTCTAAGTTTCGAGCTCGACCGCGATTTGGAACTGGGCACGGCGACGACGACGACGCCGACGACGCGGACGACGACGACGGCGATTATGTATATTTCGTGGCAACTATTGCAAGAACTCCAAAACCCCATGGGAATCCAACAGTCCATGATCGATGTCGATGCCTCATCTCTACATCGCTCCACTGCTTCGCAAATCGATGCGTGCATGTATGTCTACCTGCTGCGCGCTACTTTCTTCATGGTGGACACCTCGATGGTCGGCGGAGCGGGCCTCTTCCGCGGGGCAGCGGTCGCGACCTTGGGAAGCGTGAGCTCGTCTCCAACGTTCAGAGCCATGACGTTGGTGACTACGGGGATCTTGATATCGTACACTTTAGCGTTGCCCACAGATACGGCCACCGAGTGCTTAGTGATGGCGCAATTCGGCTTCGTCGACTCCGTGCTGTCCACGTGCCTGATCTTGAAAGCAAGGCTCGGCGCTTTAGCGCCAGGGTCCGAGAGGGCGAAGGGCCCCGCGATCCTCTCATCAGGGCTGGGCACATCGAAGTAGGGGCGATCGCTCTCGCCGCACTGCTTGACGGTCAGAGCCGTCGGCACGATGATCAACTTTTTCGCCTGGAACTTCTTCCTAGAGAAAATGCCCATGTTGGGTTTGCTGACTGCCATCAGATCGCCCCCATCGACTTCGAATTTCGACGTCAAAGATATCACGGCCATAGCAATTGCTGACTCGATGTTGATCGCGACGAGATCGGTAGATTTACAAGCTGCGTCATCTGGCCACCCAGCGAGCAACTCTTTCTTGGTTGTAGTAAAGCAGTACTTCTCGATGAACTTTGGAATGGGGCACCGAATAACGATGTGGTGCAAGGAGGCATTCTGCATCACCTCCCGAATCCGAACGCCATCCTCCGACATCGAAGCTATCTTCCACGTTTTCCCTTAGACCGAAGGTGCAAGGGCACAACTCATGCACATGGGGGGCTAATACATGTAAGAGTTCTTATGTGGCGTAGAGGGGTGGCGGGTCCAAGGTGTTTGGGGGAGTTAGGGGGGAACCACTGAAACTGGTAAACCACCCGTAGCTCGGCCGCGCCATTGCACCTTCATCGTCCTTCCTCAGCCTGATGGTGTCATCAACCTTAAACCCTCTCTGCTCCAAGAGGCAGATGTTAGCGTTCGCCAGCTCCCCCGTGCTGGCGTCGTACTGCAGCATGCCACTGAAGGGGGTCTGCTTGACGGAGTCCCCATCGGCGCCGCTGTCGTGCTGGGCCGACTGGCAGGCATACGGATTGTCGATCTCGATGGTACCATTTTGCTTTGCCTTCAATGCCTCGATGCACTCGTGAGCGACGCACTCGATGTTTGCGTATCGCTCATCCACCTTTTTCCCTAACAACACTATTGCTATCAACTGGTCGGCCTTACCTATGATCGGAATGCGTTCAATCGCATCGATATCGATCTGCCTGGAAACGCTGTGAAGATGCCGCAAGGCCTTCTCTGCTGCCATCGCTTTAGACCTCGCCTCCGTGCTAGCGAAGAGGGGCGCGATCTCTGAGCGGGTCGCAAACCTGCACATTCGACTCTGCACGGACTCGGGGGGGCCGTTCACGTGAGCCTTGACGACGGCCATTACCAGGTGGGGCATCATCTCCGTCGCCGCGAGCTTTGACTTGCACAATGTCTCGAACGCGCACCCGCCCACCAGGCGCCCAGCGGGCGCGCATCTTGACGCGAACTGCACGAGGTCCTCGATGAACTGGCCCTGGGACCCCCCACCATATTTCGCCACGAAGTCAGCGCATGCGTCGATATCGTCAACGTACTTCGATTCCGATTTGCTCGCCTCGGTCTTCACCCTCGCCCAGTCGATTACGCGCCCGTCGCGCCCCTGCTCGGATGCAATGGCCTGGATGTGAAGCAAGAGCTCGAAATGCGTTTCTTCACTCTGCACCTGGCCCGTCGCCTGCTTTGCCGACTGGATCAAACCTGGAAGTTTTGGCCAGCGTTCCTCTGCCTCCTTTTCACCATCAACCACCTCAGCCCAGTGTCAAATGCCTTTTCCATTTGTTTATCTTTGCTTTGGAACTGCCCCGTGTTGATGCGACCGTCGATGTCGGACAACGTTTTCTCCTTCGTCTCAACTCTCTCTAAGCAAGCCACCGGGAACTGATTTGCGTGCCCAGAGCTCACGCTCCCTGCGATAATCGATTCGGGCGGGGATTTGCCAAACAGATTCGACGATCTCTGAAACACCTGGGTACACTGCGCAATCGTGCCATTCTTATCTTCGATGCAAACTGAACCAGCCGTTGCCGCGAAACTAAATTTGTTCCTCGCGATCTTAGCCCCCAGCCTGTGCACCTCGTAAGCCTTGATGCCCAATCCAATCTGTTTGAAGGGTGGATGCCTACTTGGCGAGGTTTTAGATACAGCCACACAGCCATACCAATAGAAATTAACTTCTCGAGGATCACATCTACCATTCCGACAAGCCCATCTGCTGACGACAGTGCTTCCTCGACGAGGCCGTCCAGGGCATCGACCCCGTCAGCGAACGACGCCATCGCGCGCTCGATATCGAGGACGCTGCAGGAAATCGAGGTGCGACTCTCCTGGCGCTACGCGGCTGCGGGCCCGACTTCGATGGCAATCGAGTTCGATGGCATCGATTCCGATGGCAAGAGGAAGGGGGGGAGGAGGAGAAGGAGGAAAAGGAGGAGGAGGAGGAGGAGGAGACGGATACTGATAAGGAGAGGAGGGAGAAGAGAGGAGGGGGAGGAATAATGACTGGCACAAGGGGGGTAGGAAATGATGAGGGGAATGAGGAAGAGGAGGATGCCGACGACGAGGAAGAGGAGCTGGAGGCGAGGAAAGAAGGAGGACGAGGGCGGTCGCGGTGGGAGGGGGGCGCGGCGCCTGGCACTTGTTGCACGGAGGGGCGGGCGGCGCGCGCGCGCGCCGCTCGCCGCTCCGACCGACCAGACCGATCCCCCCCCACCCCTATATACCCCCACCCCCGCAACGATAATCGATGTCCTCTTCGATCATCGATGTCCCTCACCGCGGTGGGGCGAGGGGGGGGGGGAGGAAGGCGAGGCTCTCTAAGGCAAGAACAATCCGCGGCCGTGGGAGTTACCATCATCGTCGTCGTCATCATCACCATCATCACCGTCATCATCGTCGTCGTCATCATCATCATCGTCATCGTCATCATCACCATCATCCTCATCATCATCATCATCAGATCTCTCTCTCTCTATCTCTCTCTCTCTCTCTCTCCCTCCCCCCCCCTCCCCCTTTTCTTCTCACTGCAAGGAGCGCCCTTTCTTGTAATGGCTGCTCACGACACTCGCGAGCGTAACAAGATCGTTTCACGATCCGTTATTTTGCGGGGGCAAGGGTGGAACAGTTCACGAACGTAAAGTGCGCGCGCCTTCAGCGCCTCCGCTCTGCGTTTCTTTTCTTTCTTGCCTGCGTCGCGACAAGAAAGAAAAGTTTTGTTGTTTTTGAAAAAAGTTCAACAACCACGAAAAAGGACACGCATGTGCACACGCGCGGCGCGCCTCCTTCTTCTCTTCAATCGCGGGGTGCTCGTGCGACCCGTAGAACAGACAATTACAAGGCAGGGGGGGCGCGCGCCGCGCTACTGCTGATAAGAGTATCGCAGGCGGCGCGCGCATGCATCGATATCGATATCGACATCGACATATGATTGTGCATGCGCATACATGCGCATGTGTACGTGCGCGCGCGTTATCTACATCGCAATGCGTGAACACACCTTACACGCGCATATGTGCAAAATTATGTGTGTACGAACCTGATCATATGTAAGCGCATGTGTGAAACGCTGTAGTATATGACTGAATCCCATGATGAATATATAGAAAACCACACATCGAGGATTTACTTTGGACATACTAACTCGGTGCTAATTCGACTTAGTAAGTCGAAATAATTCGACTTAGTAAGTCGAAATAGTTCGACTTAGTAAGTCGAAGAAGTTCGATTTACTAAGTCGACAACTTCGACTTATAATTCGACTTATAAGTCGACTTATAAGTCGGCTGTCGACTTAGCTTTTAGGTTATAACTCAACTTATAAGCTGACCTAAATCGATCACCTAAGTCGGTTATGCTAAGTCGGCCTAAGTCGACTTATAACTCGACTTCGTAAGTCGCCTAAGTCGGTTAGTAACTCACGTCCTCAACTTATATCTAAGATATAATCCGCCGTTCATCAAAGTGTGTCCAATGTGTCCGTTGTGTCTGGTATGTCTGGTGTGTCCAGTGTGTCCGATGGCCGGCGTGTCCGGAAAGTCCGGTGAGTCCAGCGCGGCGGTTGCAGGGGTCTCTTTTTCGACGGAAGCCTTGATCCTGCCATACAGAATCTTCTCGCGCGCCAGATGACCCCCAGCCCGGGCTCTGGTCCTGGCTGCGATCAGCTCCAGCGCGGCGTCGCTGACCTACGGGCGCCTGGTCGCCTGCCGGGCCCAGGGCAGACGCACGGCAGCGGATGCGGAGAGAGCGTTGGCGATGCCAATGCTTGTTCGTCGAGCGCCCGCCCGGCCCCCGCAGCGCCCCGCTGCCGCGAAGTCCGCGGAGGCGTTGTTCAAGTCTCAAAAGAGCGGCGCTTGGGAGAGCGCCTGCAAATCTACTTTCTGTTTGCTCTTGCGAAGCGTCGTCGATGTCGAGCTGGGCGCAGCACGACAACAGGAGACGGTGCAAAGCGAGAGCTATACCTCCGCTGCTTCGGACGTCTGCCACGCGCCCCAAGCTATGGCTGCAACGCTCTGGGACTGCTAGGTTGAACGGTTGCGAACCAGCATTGTAGCATGAGTCGGATGCTGTGGAGGACGGTCGAAGAAGGTGTTCGCGATCGCGAAGTCATGGGCGCCGCAGAGCTCTAGCAGGATCGTCCGGTTGGACGTCGAAGTATGCTGCGCGGCCAGGTTGCCGACTACGCATTCTCACAGCAGTGGGCGGACCCCCCCCCACGAAACGCCTGTGCAACCTCACGCTGCAATCGCCCAACACAACAGCTTGCTCCCGGCCAGAAACACCAAATAGTTCTACTCCAAGCTCTGTGAAACACCCGTCTTGTACCCAAGGATTTGCCATTATGGGGAGCGCACGCACGGATAATAGGAATGCCCCCACCATGGACACGCAACCTGATTAACAAAATTCTGGCGCGATCAGGGACGCAATGCCAGCGGTCTCCTGATCGTCTGAATCGCCCGATTGGGTCAATAGAGAACTTTTGTCTGTAATATCGCACACGGAATCTACATGTGACTCTCTTGTAATGACAAAAAATCTATACCAATCCTCTGCATGTGAGCCTGAAATTCCTCCATCTTTGCCTCGTTGAACCCCCCACGCTCCAGGAACCCAGAATAACTCCCTCCCGCAAAGGAGCAAATTCCCACCTCGAAAACCGGGGTCCCCGCCGCCATTGTTCCCAGCACGTGGGTACGTGCATGTACAAAAAAACGATGGTGAAACAATCGGTGAAACTGCGCCGGACGGCTCCGGGCCGCCGCCTTTGCCGTGACCTTCGGAAATTCCTTTCACCATTTCTGTCATGCTCTTGGTGGCTTTCCCGGCAAGCGGGTCGCACTTGTTCGTGGGGTCCCTTACCTCCTGGCTGCTGCGGGGCCCCTCCCAAGTGGCCCATTCCCCATGCCATTCGCGAGCGACCTTGTCTGGGAAAACGCGCGCACTCACAGTCACCTTCCCCCCAACCCAAACTGAGCAAGGGGCGTCGTCGCTCGCGGACGCTGCGCATGGGATGTCCCGGATATTATTGAAGACGCGTTTCAGACAAAAACAAACATTCCGAGCTGCCGTTTCCATGATTTGGCGGTCCTGGTTGGCCCAGATGTTTGTCTTTGGACTCCAGCCCTGCCTTGCTCAAGATATCCACTGCCGCATCTCGCTGGCCAGGAATCTGGAACTCCGCGGACAGTACCCCGCCGAAGTCCCCAAATGAATTCTGGCTGGGGAAGGGGCCCTGTAGCGAAGAAAGGTTGTCGTGAAGCCACGCGCTGGCCGCCTCCAGCGAGTCGAGCGAATCGAGATTGCCGACCACTGCTGTGATGTTCCGCTCGTCGGCCCCTCCCCCTCCCCCCATGTCATTACTAGTACCTGAATATTTCAGAAGGTTCGTGTGAAATACGCTGCCCTTCTCGGAGATCTGCTTGACAAGTTTCTCGAGATCTCGATCTGACCTTCGGTGATGTCGATGCGCTTCTCCACGGTGCTCAGGCGGACGCCCACCGAGTCCGCGAAGGAGGACATCCGCAAGTCAAGATTCCCGTAGCCTGTCTGGAGGTCCTGAATCGCTTAGTCATGGGGGCCATCTCCTTCTGGACGAGACCCGAGATACCCGCCATGGTAGCCTGTCCACCTCCCCCGGTGCTGCCGGCCAACGCCCTGTCGAAGTTCAGCTGTTCGACCGGTCCTGGGATCAACTCGTCCTCCTCATCCTGGTCATCCTCCATCTTCTGGTAGCCGTCATCCGGGAGTAAAGACGAGAGCAAGGCATTCTTCATGAACGGGTTGCGCAACAGCTTGCCAACGAGAGCACTTCGTGCGCGAGACGGTACGATGGCGCCAACATCCGACGCCGAACCGGGCTGCGGAGAAGACATGGTGGGCTGTGAGAAGTAATAGGGGAGGTAATATCTGTATGTCACTGTATGTCAGTGAGTAGATGTCAGTCTTGAGCCACTTGAGTCTGAACTTGAGGCAACATGAACTTGAGGCGGACTTTGGGCGAAATATCAGACATCCCCCAACAAAATACCGCGACGATGATCAAAAAGGGCAAGACAAAATCCTCCCCAGACTATGTTTGTACCATCTTTGCAAATCCCTCCCGCAGAAGGTCGGGAGCGGCCAAGAGGGGGGTGTCCAAGAGAGGGGGGTGCAAATCATGACCGGCGGCACATGCGCGGCACAGCGGGGGGGCCAGGGACGTA